AGAGAAATATCAATCAGCTGCTTTTTGCACACCCCTACTGGGGATGTGCCTGCAACCAAGATACATGCCCTTGACTGGAATCGAACCTAAAACCTTTCAGTCCGCAGGCCGAAGCTCTATCCACTGAACCAAACTGGTCTCGGCATGATCTCTTTTTTTAACATGAAAATATTTAATAAGTAGCTTTCCGATTCCTTACACACGCTTGAAGATCTCTGGTTCTAAAATTGTAATTTCTCAAATTCTGATTTAACATTCCTCAGTTAATGATAGAACCAAAGACCATTAATAATCTCACATGACAAAAAAAAGTATTAAAAACAGAAGGATTTTTTCCTCCTAGTGTAAGCATTATTAAAAGCACCACTTTTATACCCTACAAACATTCATATTATCTGTGTTATAATATGGTGTCTAGACATAATGCACAGAGTTAAAATTATTTCAACTCTCTGGAAACCAAGAGCATCCTTGTTAAAGTGCAAAATGAGATTTTGCCTACTTGCAACTCCTTGTTCTCACACTTGAACTGTCTGTCACAGCATGAAAACATTCACCAGATACCTACTTCCCTGCTGAAAGAATGCAAATGGAACTGAAAGAGTTACTGACAATTTATACAGTATCCCATATCCCATTAGAGTATTATAACTATAGGCAAAGAAAATATTTTAACTCTGAGGGCAGATGGGGCAACAATGTTTTAAATAATTGTTGACTTCAATGAGTAGTGCAGAAAATGTCAAAAGACTATAACCTAACAGGTTGAGAAGTGATTCAAGATGCTATAGGAACCTAATTACAGAAGCCTTTGTCTTATTTGCTAATAAAGGTTAATGAGAATTCCACTGAAAAAAAATCTGTGTTTTAATCAAGTATTTTTCATAAAAACATAAATAAAAAAGTATTTTAATCTAGTTCTTTTTATTAACTTCTTTAACAAATAGATTTATTTGATGTATACTTTTACATGCTATAAAATTTACTCATTTTTAACGTGTTAAATTATTTTTAGTAAATTTACAATTGTGCTACCATTGCCACAATTGTAAATTTACTAAAACGTTCTAATTTTAGAACAGTTCTAACATCACAAACCTATTAACTTCTTGATCTAATATATTTCCATAAAATTATGGAAGCCACTGGTACCTGAAGTTAATATACTATATTTCAAGCCACACAAATCTCTGCAACTGAGCAGGAAAAGTGCAACCTAACCTCACTTTCAATGACCTTTGTAACCAATCCTCTACTCTGGCACTGGGAAGAAAATGTTCAGGTGCTTTCTCTGAAAGTTAAACCATTCCAAGTATTATGTTATGGCACACTGTCTTGGAAAGAAATTAATTATATTTTTGTTGGTAACACATTTCAGGCTGTTTACACAGCTGACATTTCTCAGCTGTACCCAACTCATGCCCCAAGCTGTGAGGATGATCTTGTGTTGTAGCAGATGCCTCCACTTCAGTGATTTAAATAAGTATAAAAACACCGTCGCCTGCAACAATATAAGTTACAAGCACCAGCTTCATGAGTTTTAATAGTCCTAATGAAAGAAAGGTTTCATGACATTTCTTTGGCTAGGATCTCCTTAGGAGACTATCATTGCGAATCACTTTTTTTGTCAAAACTCGAGCACTGCAGCTAGTGGATCTGCTATGGCACCAGTTAAAAGCAGTCTGGCCCTAAACATCTTTGTTGTAGCAAATCATGCAGCTCAAGGCAACATCCTGCCAATATGGCAACATTTGCTCTTGGGAGGTGAGGGCAGGAATCATTTCACAGGTTCTGGGACAAGGTGCAAATAGGAATAATGAGGCAAAAAGAATCAAGCCTCTTAACGGAAATTTTCTCTTGTGTTTGCTGTGACTTAGATACAGCCCTAGGTAACATTACAGTCTTAGATATGGTAATTTTTAGCTACTTTCCTATTTTCCTGTAATAATGAAATTGCGTTAGAATGCTTAGGGAAAATGTAAATGTTGAGACAATCATTAAAACGTGAGTATCATAAAATACAATGTCAACTCAAATCAATTATTTAACACCTAAAATGTATAAGGCACTATGCTAACAGAAGAATCCTATACAATAAAAGCATAATATGCAAATTGACTGATTGGCAGACCCACCAGTAGGCAGGGGGGTGGGGCCAGTGAGCAGGCAGCACCAGCCAGCCAAGGCACATACCAGCAGGCAGAGGGAGGGAACAGCAATTGGGGGGGGTGGGGGGGAGTGTTTGCTGGTGGCCAGCAGCAGCAGAGGGGCGATGGGCCAGGGAATCGGCAACATCCCAATTGGCCTGTCCAGTCATGTCCTGTAGAGGGAAGCCAAGCAGCAGTGGTGGTGTGACAGGGGCGGTACTATCCCCTGATCAGCTGGTCCAGTCACTGCCCTCAGAGGGAGGCCAGACTGCAGCTTAGGACATCCCCTAAGAACTCCTGGACTGTGAGAGGGCACAGGCCATGCTGAGGGACGTCTCCCCCCAAACCCAGTGCACGAAATTTCATGCACTGGGCCTCTAGTTTATAATATTTCACTAAATTTGCCTATCACTGTTGGAACTTGCAGCTGATAAGCCTGTTTCAATCTGTAGGATCAGAGAGCAGTTTTGGCTTTTCTAACTCCATGTAGTCTAGCATTTCCAGACTTTATTACCTCACGTTCTTGCTCTTAAACCAAACCATTTTGTTTGTTTGTTTGCTTATTTATTTGTTCGCTCACTCATTCATTCATTCATTCACTCAGAGAGAGAGAGAGAGAAAGAGAAAGAGAGACATAGCAACTGCCTGCCTCTTATATGCACTCCAACCCTGGATCGAACAGGAACCTGGGTATGTGCCCTGATCAGGAATCAAACCCTCCATTTCTTTTGTGTGTACAGGATGATGCTCCAACCAACTGATCCACACTGGCCAGAGCCAGACAGTTATTTTTGCTGTAAACTTTTTATTATAGAAATTTTCAATAAACTCAGTATACATATCACTCAGCTTTAACAATGATCAACAAATGGCTAATCTGAATTTGTTTATATATCCCACATCATTCCAAACCCCTATAGGTTATCTTGAAGCATCTCAGATGGAATGTCATTTGCTTAAATTGGTCAATTCTTGCCTGTGATCCTTTTCTACATTATGTTAATACTAAAGGCCTGGTGCACAAAATCAGTGGGGTGGGGGGGTGGGGGGGTGGGAGAGTGTCCCTCAGCCCAGCCTGTACCCTCTTCAATATGGAGCCCCTCGAGGGATGTCCAACTGCCAGTTTAGGCCCGGTCCCAACTGGCATCGTGGTCATCCTTCTCACAATCTGGGACTGCTGGCTCCTAACTACTCGCCTGCCTAGCTGCCTGATTGCCCCTAACCACTCTGCCTGCCAGCCTGATTGCCTCCTAACCACTCCCCTGTAGTCCAATTGACACCTAAGTGCTCTCCTGCCAGCCTGATCACCCCCAACTGCCCTCCCCTGCAGGCCTGGTCCCCCACAACTGCCCTCCTCTGCCGGCCATCTTGTGACAATGTGGAGTCGGCCATCCTGTGGTGGCCATTTGTAATGATTTTCATTAATGAGTTTCTACTATGAGTCAGGAATTTACACATATTATCACTAACTCGTATTAAAATGCTGCATAGGTTACTGAAGCTCAGTGAATTTAAGTGACATACTTAGACTTTAATTATTTTCTTCTATTAATGTTATTTCTTGTAGTAGTTACTAGGCAATACTAAGAACATCTCTGGTTTATTCATGTTGGGTAAAAATAAATTTATTATTTATGAAAACACTCTTATTTTTTCAAAATTAAGTGTAATACATTTTCCGTCAAATTTCTCACTCTAAAGGGAAAAAGAAAAACAAACTAAAACCATCAACCACATTGCTACCTGTAGCAATGGACAACCAACCAATAATTCTAATGAGATACTATAATAGCAATGTCAAAATCAGTGTTTAGAAGTAAATGTAAATACCTACACATAAACATTTATTTTTCCTGGAAGGATACATTTTTCAAAAAGTTTTGCTATTTTCCGATTTTAAAGTTTCATGATACACAAAACATTTCCAAAGGTACATTGTTTAGACTGTGGAGTAGATTCAAGTAGCATCTACATACATAATTGTTTTAACAAGATTTCTGACATCCACAAAAAAAATCACTCATATTAAAATGTATAAAGGCAGTGCTGAGAGAGGAGGAGTAATTATTTTCCAAACAGAAACACACTATTTACTAGAAAATACAAAACTATTTTTTTGGTCTTATTTTAAAAATCAGATTTAACTTCAGAATTCTTGAAACATTCTCATTTTGTACTTTCAAAAAGGGGGGGAGGGTGGTATCTGATTAAAAACCAACATTATGGGTAAAAGTGACCCTTAGATGATAAAACTTACTCTCTTAAAAAAAAAAATCACTTATAAATAGGGCAGAGATAGGAAAGGATTCAAATATATAACAGGAAAATCATTATAAGTAGATATCATAACAGGTAAAAAATAACAGACTAAATCTTTTCTTCCGGTTTTTATAGTAGTGGGAAGTATGGGTTATTTAAGAATAAGATGCTATTAATATTAACTGTAAAACTCAGCTATTTTTTAAAGTACCAGTCTACTATAGAAAATGTACTTTGAAAATTAAATATGTAACAGTTTGACTGACTTTAAGATATCTGTAATTTAGGGAAATAATTTTGTGATTGGGACATTTCATCAGTAATAGCTGACGATATTCTTTTGATCAAGGAAAATTTTAAGTCAAATCAAGCAGCATTAGTTCCTGATATTGATACTGTAATATTATGAACAGAAAGCTGGTATACTTCACTTATGATATCTGATCTGTAAGTTAACTCAAATTATTACAACTCTTATTTTCACATTATTTGATTTATAAATTTTTTTCAACAGAATATTCAAAGTTTAATTCTGCTTATTATCAACAGTCAATTAGACTGAAAGTGGCAAAAGAGAGACGAATGGTCACTTACTGAATCATCTGTGGCAGAAGCTGGCCAACCCTCCCATAACTGATGGCGTACGGGGATACTTGTAAGGTCATATACATTTCTTTTTACCTGAAGAAAGAAAGAGATACTGCAATTAAAAATAGGGTTTCCATAGGACTTAAGGATGATTGCCACTTTATGTGACAACATTGTATTTCCTCTGTTTTCTTCTAGATTCAAAACAAGCATTAGAAACTAGGATAACATAGTCAGAAAAAAAATGTGTAATCTGCTCCATGTTGATATTTACTGCTGTGTTGCTGATAACTACCTGAAAGAGAAGTTGGGATTGCTTCACTGGGCTGGAAAAAGTTTAGCTAAATCAAAAAGCAGGTCTAATTAAGCAAGTTTGTTCTATATCTGTGCAATACAGATAAAGCTGTCACTGGTGCCAATTGCACACATGTGTTTCGATTTGTCATTGTTGATCAATTTGATTGACACTTCTTTTATAGAGAAATGACAAATAGCGATATTAAAATATTTCTTCTAATTAATTTCCTTGCAATATGCACAAATTTGTGCACTGGGCCACTAGTTTTCTAATAACTATCTATGGTGTCAGATGGATACTAGACTTATTGGGATTATCACTTTGTAAAGAATATGACTGTCTCACCATTATGCTGCATACTGAAACTAATCCTTTATAATAAAAGCCTAATAGGTGTCTGGTCGACCAGTTGGCTGTTCAACCAATCAAAGCGTAATATCCTAATGATATGCTAAGGCCCCTCAACCACTCGCTATGATGTGCACTGACCACTGGGGGGCAGATGTTCCAACCGGTAATTAGCTTGCTGCTGAGGTCTGTGAGATAGGGACTGGGCAAGATGGGCTGGACATGCCCTGGGGCCCTCCCGCAGTCCTCCCTGGCTGGCCAACCTCCATATCCCTCTCTGTCCAAGACAGTGCACCAGTGGGGTCCCTCCGCCTGGCCTGCACCTTCTCACAATCTGGGATGCCAAAAAGCTGGTTTTGGCTGAATCCTGCAGGCCAAACCGCTCACCATGAATTCGTGCACTGGGCTTCTAGTACAAAATAATATTGAACGTAAAAATAAAAGAAGAAAACCACCCCCTGCTGCTGATTGTTTTTATAAATCCTGGATGGCTTCAAGTTTCTTTTCATTTAAGAAACTTCAGCTATATAGTACAGCTAGGACAAACTATAATTACAAATTTCTTAATAATCTTATAATTTTTAAAATGGTCCAATGTAAAATAATTCAAACAGAAGATATGATTCAAGTTTCTATGTAGGAGAAAAGAATGGGTTTTTTTGAAGGGGAGGAGCAGGAGGGATGAAAAAACCTCAAGTTTTCTTTATTGTTTGGTGTAAGCTTCAAAGATGTAAAAACTAATAAAACAACACAGATTATTTCTTTGAAATCATCCAAATTAAAAACTATTTCAATAGAATATTTGTTAACTGGATGGCATCTACAAATACACTATTCAGGCCTTTCCTAAAAAGACAATACGGTACTGATACTTTATATTTTTTAATACTGTTAAAGATGAAAATCAATTTTCAACATGTAATATTATACCTTTCATTTTAGAAGAAGAGGTAATTTATCAGAATAAAGTGTTGGAAGATTAAATTCTGTGTTATCCACTAATTAAGAAGTATATTTTTTTTTCCAGTTTTAAACAGGTTATGAAAATTCTATTTTGTTTCATATTTACAAATAAGATAAATTATCAAATTGTTCAGAATGGACTTAACTCTTCAGGTTAGTTATGGGATTAAACTGCTGTAACAAATGAAGCTAATATTGAATGTTGCACATAACACAGGGTGGGGCAAAAGGAAGTTCCAAATGCAAACCTCCTTTTGCCCTACTTTGTATCTTGTACAGCAAGGCTTCACTATAGAAAACAAGCAGTATTCATTTATGTTTTTAAATGTCCAATTACAGCATTTTGTCTCACATTTCTGTTTGTTACACATAAACACATCTAAGTTACGTTTCCAGTGAAATAGAGACATATATATTCACTGGGAAAGGAAAAAACAAAAACACAATGTGGAACTCAATCTACTTTTTATCTCTAATGTACACCTGTGAAAAAAGACTTAGTAAATGAGAACCGAGGAGCTTGGAGGAATGGCTTGATCCCTACTCAATTCAAACAAACAACTGTTCTTCAAAGGTTATTGGCAATGGCCAGTCTACCATGCAGTATTTTGTTTATGACCAGTCACATAAAGTTTAGAAATTTTCGTTAGTCTTTATCAACAAAACAATTTAGCCAAATTCAACCTCTGTCCACATCTATTAGCAAAGACTACTTTTGTCATGCTTAAACATTAGTGTTTTTAAGAAGAAAGGTGGTCCACAAACCCAAAGTATTATATTAATAAAAGGAAAGGAAAGAAGAGAGGAGTATGAGACGACTTAGGGCTCAAGGCCCCAAGAAATCCTTTCTTAAAGTTATTTTTCAATTATGCAATCTAGATACACCAAGCTTCATCAATTATTTTAAAAGGGGGAAAAAAGGCAGGACAAATATTTGTGTCTGTTGGAAAGGGTACCCTGTATCGGATAGTATACACAAATACTATGAGTTGCATATACAAACAAATAACTCTAAGGGGATTCTTTAAATTCCACCTTAATTCCAAAACACAACAATATGGTATTATGAAATAAACAGTATTTTTTCTTCTTTCATTAACTCATTTGTAACTGCACTGAATTGAATAGCATTCCTTTGCTATTGTAAGCCCGAAAAGCATGTTCTGGCTATAGTGTTATGTTGGTATAAAGCGCAACGCCAGACTGATGTGCTGAACAAAAGTGATCAAAGTTAGAGTAATGTTAGCCATTGCACAAGTATTTGGCTTCATTGTTCTCTCCAGAATGACATCTGTTAAGCAACTTGTCATAGAATAAACTGACTAATGCAGACAGAATTTGGCTGAGAGGATACAAAATAAAGCATATTAAGTTAATGTTTGTCCCAATGGAAAAGATAAATTCACAGAAATTCTCAGATTATGCAAAAAAAAAAAAAATGTTTGTGTTAACCCAAAATCACTAAATAATTTAAATACAAATTAATCTTTCAAAAATAATTCCATGTTTATCAACACTCTAACGATGGGCAGATTTTAACATTATATTGATGAAATACATGTGATAAGGTAACAAAAGTACAATGTGGGCAAAGGTTTTACTAATAAAAATGCAATCTTTATTGATGGTTTTCTGTAATTAAAATTTTAAGTCACAATTCTGCAGGGAAGGAAAAAATCCAAAAAGTATACAAAGCAAAAGTAAAAATTATGTTTTTTAAAAATATTAGTATCCTAGAAAACCTGAGAGACAAATTACAACTATATATAAAAATGATGCAGGGTAATTTAAGATTGTCATGAATCAAATGAAAGGCAGAATTCTCTGAAAAAGGGAAAGAAGAATAAAGGACTAGAGGAGGGAGAGAAAGAAGGAGGGGGAGGGAAAGAGGGAGATTGAGAGATCATTGACTGATTTGAGAGATTCAAGCGCACTTAAGAGAGGCAGAAAATACACACAGACTGGGTGCTGTAGCTGGCATGCCCAGCTGCCATTGTTGTTCCACTTGTGATGGAATTTCATCTTTAGAGATTTGTGCTAAATTCCAGTTAAGTACAAGTGGCACTTCACACGTTAACATTTCCTCAGGGCCTTTTTGTCTTACACAGTTTCTTTGATCAGCACTGACTCAAGATAATGCTGAACCTTCATAATCTTTTCAATTTTTGTTGTACATTAAGCTCTAAATCTGAGATTTCAGCATGTTAAACTATGTAAATGTTTCAATTAATTCCGTAGAAATTTAATAAATGCTTTGATTACCAGTTGAACATCAAATTTATGTTACAAACTATACTGTATTTAGATCAAGTGTTCTAGATCGACAATAGATTTTTCCAGTTTTTCTACATTTCTTAAAAAGAGAATTTTACTTTTTACCTATTGCTTCAGATTAGACAGTTGTGATTAAGAAAAAATTAAATCAGATTAACTTGAAGGTATTAATATGGGGCTGATTTACTATTTGCTTTTCATTATTAATAAAAATCTACTTATACACTATAATTACTGTAAGAAACTAAGCAATGATCTCCATGTCAAACTTCATATTTCCTCATGGAAATTTCATTGATGAATACAGCACTGGGGGAAAAAATCATTGTATTATGACCTGCTCAATATAAATTGTATGAAATATTTTTCCCCACAAAGTTTTGAGATCCATAAATTTTTAAACAATTTTTATTTTTAAATGTTATCAGAATTTCTTAGAAAGAAGTCTTAGGATGTTACTCTGCTAACCTAAGTTTTGAGGCTCAGAATTAACCTCCTCTTATGAGCTGTTTGTAGTTATTGAAAGAGAAAAATATAAGACTTGTAGGTAACATTGTTAGCTATAATAAAAATCATTGCTTGTGAGCTAAATGTTGGTAAAACATTTATCCAAAAGAAAACAAGTTCTGATAATAGAAAGAAAAGTCACAAAGTTTGGGTTATTGAAGCATAATGAGAGAAAAAGAAAAAGATTTCTCATTGTCCAGTTGTTACTGTGGGCAAGTTAGCAGAACCTCTCTGAGATTTACTTTATTCAAAGTTAAAAGATAATAAAATAAGATCACTTCTGATTTTCACAGCTCTAAACCCCTATGATTTTATGAAAATTTTGGAGTTAACCCTAGGTACAGGAAAAAAAGAGCTAAATATATATAAGATAAGCAAATAATGAGGAAAAGTTTAAATCATTAAGGCTAGAAAATGAAAGAAAAATAATAAAGAGTTCATAATACAACACATCAAAAAGGAATATTGGAAATAACTTGATATATAAGCACTTAAGATGATTTTTTTTCTTGGACAAAGAAATATATTAGTTTTCATTTTTTATACTAAAAAGTCTAGATTTTTTAAAAGGTCTAATATTTTCCCCATATGAGATCTTATTTAAAACTAGAGCCTGTTCCACTGGTTTCCCAAATAACTATTCCATCAACTAAATGTTACCAGTAAACTATGGTTTGAAAGAACACTATTAGTTAAGTGATGA